ACTGCATTCGTTAAGTGAATCTGGCTTCCTCGTTGACTTTCTCCTCGGAAGCCAGCTGGGAAGATTGCAATCACCGAACTCCAGAACGCTGCAACCATTATAAATACATGCCAGTTGCCAAGTGCCCAAATTTTGATCATGTTGCTGCTACAATGTCGTAAGTGTGAGGACTGATTGTAAGTCACTTTTTTCAGTGCCGTGGTAACTTCAGGCGGTTGCGAAATGGTTATAAGTTGAGGACTACCAGCATAGGAACCAAGTGTTTTACTGACTCAACTATGGCCTACTGCAAATCAATAGGAGCCAGATAAAAGTCAGTCTAACTAATGACCTGTGTTGGCTGTGACTCATTTATTGCTTATAATTTATTGCTTATAATGAGGTTTAAAACCAGGATAATCTTACCAAGAGGCACACTTGTCCAAATGTGGGTCATTAGGAAACCTATAAGAGTCTAAAGAAGACCTCCAAGGCCCCTTCCATCTCTTATTATTCTGTTACACTCTTTTTCAATATATTTGGGGATAACCTGAATGAATTTCAAAAGACTGCAGAGGACTCTAGTTGATCTGGGTCGGCATGTTGATGAACTTGGCTAAAACAAAGGGCGGAGGAGAAACAGATACTGAATTGAGAGTCTAGGTCGAATTTTCCCTTTGCTTGTCCTGCACCCCTATTCTGGATCACCCCTTCCCCATCTGTTCTGCAGCTGTTGCGTTCATGAGAAATGATTTTCCATTGGGGAATAGATGGCTCTTACATCCATGTGAGAAAATCCTAAACTAGAATACAGATGCTTAGGCAATGTCATTTCCACAGCGAATGTTTGAAACAGTTTTGGGTCATGTGGCAGAGAATATCACCGTAGTACAGGCCGTCCTCGGCTCTCAAAAGTTCATTCAATAACTATAAAGTTACAATATAGAAAAAAGTGACTTATGACCATTTTTCACACTTAACGGCTGTTGTAGCCTCCCTGAAGTCATGTGATCAGAATTCGGAGTCTTGGCAACCGATTCATATTTATGACGGTTGCAGTGTATTGGGGGGTCGTGTGATCCCCTTTTGCAACCTTATGACAAGCAAAATCAATGAGGAAGCCAGATTCACTTAACAACTATGCCACAAACTTAACAACTGCAGTGATTCACTTAACCACGGGGGCAAGATCATTGGTTGCCCTCTCCCCTCTTTGGAAGAACTTTATAGCTCCCGCTGCCTTAAGAAAGTTCAAAACAATCTCAAAGATCCACCTCATCCCAGGAACCCTATTTTTGAACTATTATCATCTGGCAGACGGTACAGGATAATAAAAACAAGGACAAATAGCCTGAAAAACAGCTTCTATCCCAGGGCAGTAACTCTATTGAATTCTACTGTATAGTGCAGTGTTGGTGCAGTGTTGGGGTTTTTCAATTCAATGTGTGGAGTGTGAAGGGTGTGTGGTTGTGTTTATTTTCATGGTTCATGATGTGCACTGAAGATGGTGTTTGATTTTGTTGTACCAGGTGCAATGACAGTAAACTAAACTAAAGAAGGGTTGTATAAAACGGGACAAAATTCACTTAAATGTCTCACTTAACAACATAAATTTTGGGCTCAATTGTGGTCGTAAATCAAGGATTACCTATAGTCACATTCCATTCCAGTCATATGCTTAGCCACATCATGCTTAAAATATATCAATTCTTTCTGTAACCAAACTTTGCACAAGGAGGCATTTGTTGTTTAATTGGAGAGAAATCCCAAACGTAGCAGAAGTTTCAGATTAAAGCCTTACATTGTGTTAGTTGATATTCCTTTCATTGTTCCCGGCAGAAATCGATGAAATAGGAATGTTGATCGATTGATTTATTCTCAGTAACCATGAACAGTTTTGATCAAATCATTCTAAGGTAAAATCTGGCTCAGCTCCTAAATTGCATTTTATTGGCAGGAGAAAAAAAAAACCCACTGAGTCTTTACGTGATTTAAAATCATCCCCTTTCAAAAAGCCTTTTTGAGAAAACAATGCTGAACTTGTTCCCAAAGGGCTCTTAGCCACAATGGTTTTTTTTTTTTGCTCGGTTTGGGCTTAATATAATAACATATTTAGAGAGGTAGATTTGCTTGTAACACTAAGCCAAAAGTAAGCAAACTCCACCTTGACTTACTACTCATCTGATTTTCTAGTGCTTTCCCTCTTTTTATGCTTGCTTTGTCTTGTTTTTAATTTGAGGAATGACATCACTGAAAAATAAATAAATCCGTGCCTGGAATTCCAGGATGAGAGCTTGACTATCTGTTGCATATGTTTGTATTGCTATTCTTAGTTGTGAGTAATAATTGATGACACTTGCTTCACTGCAGTAGCTGGGCTGTAATTTTGATGAGCTGTGCAGCTTAAATGTCTAACAGTGTCTGGTAAATTGAACCTCAGAACGACTCAGAAGTTGTGGGAGCGTCATCACTTGAGACTTTCAAGAAGAGATTGGACTGCCATTTGTCAGAAATGGTGTAGGGTCTCCTGCTTGGGCGGGGGGGCTGGACTAGATGACCTACAAGGTTCCTTCCAATTCAGATTATCTGTTATCTCTTAACTGTTACCTCCAAATTCAGAGGCGTTACAGGTAGTCTTCTAGACTTAGGACTACAGTTGGGACTGTAATTTGGTCATAAGTCATTGCGGTTGTAATTGGAGGCACCATGGGACCAGACTCGATTTTATGACCGCTTTTATGATGTTCATTAAGTGAGTCTCCACAATTGCCAAGCAACTACGTGATTGTTATGCAAAGCACCTGGTCACAGAGGTGGACTCATTTTAGCCAAAGGACATTTTTTTTGTGAAAAAACAGCCATAAATTATAATAGTGATTTCAACTTAACAGAATAACGAAGTTGGAAGAAACCTTGTAGGTCATCTAGTCCAACACCCCCGCCCAAACAGGAGACCCTACTACACCATTTCTGACAGATGGCAGTCCAGTCTCTTCTTGAAAGTCTCAAGTGATGAAGCTCCTACAACTTCTGAAGGCAAAGCTGTTCTATTGGTTGATTGTTCTGTCTGAAAGTTTCTCCTTATTTCCAGATTAAATCTTTCCTTGTTCAGTTTCCATCCATTATTCTTTGTCTGGCCTTCAGGTGCCTTGGATAATAATTTGACCCCTTCTTCTCTGTGGCAGCCCCTCAAATATTGGCACACTGCTATCATCTCCAAGGTTCCTTCCAACTCTATTACCGTATTCTGTATTCGTATGTCTCCCCTGGTCCTTCTCTTCACTAGACTAGCTATGCCAGCTCCTGCAACTGTTCTGCAAATTGTTGCAAAATGCAATCACGTAACTAATGAGATCGTAATAGTGAACTGATTGCTAAGCACCTGAAGATCACACCACAATGGAGGTGGTGGGGCAGTTGTAACTTCGAGGGCGAGTCACAAGTAATTTTGAGTTTGTTGTAACTTTGAATGGTTATTAAGCAGTCAGTCATAAGTGTCATAACTCCTTGTATACCAGAACTGGGGACAAGTAACAGGTTTGGCTTCTTCTGTGTTTCTTTCTTATTTGAAACTTCTGAGAGGAGACATAATGTAGGATGGCCTGAGTCCTTGACCTATCCATAATCAGATGTTTTTGAGTGATTTTATTGAAATACAAGCAATTCCACCCTCTAGGATTGGCATTATGGATTGTATACAGCTAGTCCTCAACTTATAACAATTCATTTGATCAGCGTTCGAAGTTACAGTGGCACTGAAAAAAGTGACCTATGTCCATTTTTCACATGTCCAACCATTGGCAGCATCCCCATGGTTATGTGCTCAAAATCCAGACACTTGGCAACTCGTATTTATGATGGTTGCAGTGTCCTGGGGTCATGTGATCCCCTTTTGCGACTGTCTGACCAGCAAAGTCAACAAGGAAACCACTTTCACCTAACAACCGTGTGATTCACTTAACAACTGCAGTGATTCACTTAACAACTGTGACAAGAAAGGTCAAAGAAATGGAGCAAAATCCACTTAATAGCTGACTAGCTTAGCAGCAGAGGTTTTGGGCTTAATTGTGGACATAATTTGAGGACTCCCTGTACAACTACAACTTGCAGGGGCTCTGAAATCAACATGAGTCTGCCTGCTTCATTCCTAATAAATAAGGTCATGGTTTCACCCTACTTGAGCTTATTTCACCAATATTTAACCAAAACAACCGAAACAAGCTATTTTTAAATCAATCCCATGACTGGCTCTTTTATTACAGGGTGGGTTTTCCCTGGAGCAAAGTGTATGTCACCAAGCCACAGATTTGGCTTGTAGTCCTCTTTGTCCGTGATGATTCTATGTTACAAAGCTGCTGGTGTGTCACTTCCAGTCCCTTCTGGCTGGAGTCTAGGAAAATAGAGACAATAGCTGCATGTGAGTGATTTCCTTGCCTGGAACGCACGGTATTTATTAAGGGCTTGAACTAGGAAATGAATAAGGCTGCTAAGTCAGGTTGAAATCACTCACTGCCAAGCTGAGCGATGGAGGAAAAAACCCACATAAGGTGATGAACATAGAATGATAGAGTTGGAAGGGACCTTGGAGGTCTTCTAGTCCAACCCCTTGCTCGAGCAAGGAGACCCTATACCATTTCAGACAAATGATTGGTCCAGTCTCTTTTTGAAAGCCTCCAGCGATGAAGCACTCAAAACTTCTGAAGGCAAAGCTGTTCCACTAATTTATTGTTCTAATGGTCAGGAAATTTCTCCTTAGTTCTCGGTTGCTTCTCTCCTTGGTTAGTTTCCACCCATTGTTTCTTGTCTTGGCTTTTGGTGCTTTGGAAAATACAGTAGTTTGACCCTTTTGCCTTTGTAGGAGCCCCTTAGATAGAGAAACACTACTGTCATGTCTCCTATGGACCTTTTCGCCAGACTAGATAAGATACCCAATTCCTGTAACCATTCTTCATTAATTGCTTCTTCCTTAACTGCAGTTATCTGCTTCGTTAACCGCTTCTTTCTTCAACTTTTTTCAACAGGCATGAAAGTTCAGCGATCGATGTAACCAGACCACCGGTCGAAGGCAGGATGGGACCTGGCATGCTTTGGTTTTTGCTGCTGGTCTCTGTGGGGACGTCGGAGTTGGAAGAGCACTTTGATCCAGGTAAGAAGCAGGAGCCGAGAGAGAAAAGGGCAGAGGTTCAAAACAGCTGGCTGGTGTCAGGATTCAACTCTGTTTTCAGTTGTAGGTGAAGCAGGTGGATTAAATTCCCCCAAATCCACATATTCTGGATTACCAGAAGAACCCTTTGTGCTATACAAATACTGCACAATTTGGGGAAAGGATGAACTTGTCAAATCTGGGAAGATAGGAGGAGAAGCCCTATACAAAACATTTGCTAGGCCAATACTTGAATACAGCTCATCAGTCTGGAACCCGCACTACATATCGGATATTAATACAGTCGAGAAAGTCCAGAAATATTTCACGAGAAAAGTTCTTCACTCCTCTACTAATAGCAGAATACCTTATGCCATCAAACTTGAAATTTTAGACCTAGACAACCTAGAACTACGCCGCCTTCGGTCCGACCTAAGTGTAGTACATAAAGTTATCTATTGCAATGTCCTACCCATCAATGAATACGTCAGCTTCAACCACAACAATGCAAGAGCACACAATAGATACAAACTCAAGGTAAACCGCACCAAACTTGATTGCAGGAAATATGACTTCAGCAACAGAGTGGTCAATATCTGGAATACTCTACCTGACCCTGTGGTTTCTTCCCCAAACCCCAAAAACTGTAACCTTAAAACTATCCACTATTGACCTCACCCCTTTCCTAAGAGGTCTTTAGCGGGCGTGAATAAGTGCACCAATGTGCCTACCATCCCTGTCCTATTGTTTCTTTTTATTCGTATCCATTTCATGTATTCATAACCATGCTTACACTTATACCTGTTATCTAATACTTGCTTGAAAAACGAACAAACAAATAAATAGAATTTAACAGGAAAAAAAACCCTTCCCTCATAGGTGGGATAAAATAGGAGGAGGGAGAGCTTTTCGTAGATTTTCACGGATACAGGTATGCAGGTCTTGGTTTGTTTGTATCTTTTCCTGTGCAAGATTGAGAGTATCTTGGCGACGTTTTGACAAGGTCCCACTCGCCATCTTCAAGCTGGTGCTTTCAGCTTCGCACAAGCACAAAGCCGAAAGCACCAGCCTGAAGATGGCGAGTGGGACCTCGTCAAAACGTCGCCAAGATACTCTCAATCTTACACAGGAAAAGACCCAAACACACACACACACACATATATATACATACATACACATATGTATACATAACAAACATATACACATGTGAGATATATATATGTATGTATATACATAGACACATGCGAGATGTATATGTATATGTGTGTTATGTGTATACGTATATGTATATGTGCGTTATGTATTTATATATATGTGTGTATAGGTGTGTGTATGTGTGTATACTGTATATATACACACACACACACATAAATACACACATATACACACACACACACACACATAAATACACACATATGCACACACACATACACATAAATTTCCCCTCATTTGCTGAGATCGCACTACCATTAAATGAATTACGAAAAACGGGGGGAGGAGACAACCGACCAAGTCATGTTTAATTCATTTATATACATACATATGCATACATATGCATATACACCCACAGATACATGTATATATACACATACACACACACATATGGTACAGATATCTATATCACTGTCCCTTTTGAATACGTAGCAGAAAGAAGAAACAAGTTCACAAGGTTGATGCTGTAGGGAAGAAAACTGTGACTGAATCTGGATGTTCTGCTTCCGATACCACAAAGCCCCCACTCCTCCCAGAAGGTGAACAAGGAAAAACAGGCCATGAAGAGGACGTGTGGCACGAAGGCTGTGCCTGGAGACAACTGACGCAACCTCCTTGCTGAAGCTAAGATGGACTGATAGAGGACCGATGTCTGGAGAAGAGACCCCAGGAATGTTCATGGAACAGTCTGGCCTTGGAACAGGTTGCCCTTCTTGAATGTTCCGGAAGCCTCGGGATGGCCTGTTCCCTGCTTGGAGTACATTCCGTGGGGGGATGCTTGTCAAGCCCCTGGAAGATGACCTCCAGCCTATTAAAAGTGCCACGAAGGGGGAAGAGAAACGAGGTGCCAATCGGGCCGTTTGCTTTTCCCATAAACATTCCGTGGGACGCACTGAAGTGATGTTGTGGCCTGATATGTCAAGTGGAAACAAAGTGGTCAGTTGATCTCGGTCCAGAGCTCCTCCTGTCTGGAATAGTTCACATTCCTCTGAGATATTTTTGGGAGTGGAGGGATATTATTTTCTCAGGCTGACAAGTAGTGACAAAGCATCTACCACTGAAGCACAGGAGGACTTAGAATCCCGTTCCCAATCTTAGAGGCAGAACCCTCTGTAGTCCCAAGTGCAGGCGGTCCTCAGCTTACGACCACAATTCAGCCCAACATTTATGTTGCTTATGTACCTTATGATTCCTTGTGTGTCCAATCACATTTGGCCAATAAAGAATTCTATTCTATTCTATTCTATTCTATTCTATTCTATTCTATTCTATTCTATTCTATTCTATTCTATTCTATTCTATTCCATTCCATTCCATTCCATTCCATTCCATTCCATTCCATTCTATTTTCCATTCCATTCCATTCTATTTTCTATTCTATTCTACTCTATTTTCCATTCCATTCCATTCTATTTTCTATTCTATTCTACTCTATTTTCTATTCTATTCTATTCTATTCTATTCTATTCTATTCTATTCTATT